CACTAAAGGGGTTTATGTCGTCCCCCTTGCCAACCCTTTTGTTCATTCGTGAGTTGGAACTACTTCCGTGGACCATGGTGATATACCCAATCGAACTGGAGAGAGAGAGAGAGAGAGAGAGAGAGAGAGAGAGAGAGAGAGAGAGAGAGAGAGAGAGAGAGAGAGAGAGAGAGAGATGAAAGAGAGAACTGTTGAAGATGAAGAAGGTCAAAGAATTGAGCAGGGAGTAGAAGAAGTAGCGGCAGATGTAAGCTTAACAAATCATTAATGATTTGGTGTCAGACATTTAGCATCTATTTATAGGCCTGGTCCAGTGGTAGACGTTGACGTGGCCTTGGTGTCGCCCTGTACCGCGGTTGACCTGGGTCTGGGCCCGCACGTGTGCTGAGGTTTACTTAAGCCGCCGCCCAGGCTTGTGTCGATGTTGACTGAGCCTGTGTTGTGTTGACCTGGACCGTGGGAGGCAGGCAGACAGACAGACAGACACGTAGGCAGACAGGCAAAGAGGGAAAACACGGAGGCAGGCATGGCAGACAGGCAAGCAGACATGCAGCACGCAGGTAGGCAGGCATGCAGCAGACAGGGAGGCATGCAACAGATAGGTAGGCAAGCATGCAGCAGACGGGCACGCAGCCATGCAACAGACAGGCAGACAGTTATGCAACAAGTACAGATGCAGACAGTCAGGCAAACACAGCCTGTCAGTCAGTCAGGCAGGCAGACATGCAGTAGGCAGGAGGCAGGCAGACAAGGAGGCAAGCAGATAGACAAACAGGTAGGTAGGTAGGCCGCCTGGCATGCACACTGGCACACAGGAAGGTAAGCAGCCAGACAGACAAAAGATAGGCGGGCAGACAAACAGCCAGGCAGGTAGGCAGACAGGCATGTGGGCAGACAGATAGGCAGAAACGCAGACAAACACGCAGGCAGGCACGGAGGCAGATAGGCAGATAGACAGGCACACACGCAGGCAGTCACGCAGGTAGACACGCAGGCAGACACGCAGGCAGACACGCAGGCAGGCAGACATGCAGGGAGACAGACACGCAGGCAGGCAGACAGACACTTGGGTCTGGAGCTGCGGAAAGGCCTAGACTAGGTCTGGATCCTGGGTGTTGAGTCCAGGCCCAGGTTTAAGGCGTTGCCCGGGCCCATGTGCAGGCTCTGACACTTTTTGTTGCTTCCTCCGCCCCCCCTCCTTCTTTCAAAGCAAAGGTCCAAGTTCTAGCCCATGTCCAGTCCCACACGTTGCCCTGGCGCTGGTCTGCCCCTGTACCCCCGTTGACCTGGGTCTGGGCCCGACGCTGTTTTCAGGCTACGTTGCCACTTGTACGCACCCTCGTACGAGTACGGATTCGTACTTTTGTACTCGTACGCTAGGGGCCCCGTACGAGTTTTTTTTTTTTTTTTTTTTTTTTTAATCAGGTATTACTTTTTTTTTTTTTCTCAAATTTGGTAAGGAATTTGGATGTACTGTTGAGGCAAA